CCCCCTCGTTGGGACGACTGTCTTTGGGCGCCACCAGCTCACAGGACACCTGCGCCATGACCCTGTGGGGAGGGGGTTAGGGTTAGGGTTAGGGTTAGAGTTAGGGTTAGGGTTAGGGGGGGCAGAGTCTGAGAAACGGGGGCCGCACCCCAGAGAAACAGGTCCACCTTCACGTCCTGGTTTCTCACCGTAAGAGCTAATTCTTAATGTCCGAACTGTCTAAAATGTTGCTGGTTATCATATAAACACACTTTTAAGTATTTTCTCAGTATTCAGACATCTGGAGACGGTTATTTACCGGACTAAAACAGAGAAATGCGAGTTTTAACCGGTATAAAAATGAAAACACCCGGCCACAGACTCACCTGGTCTGTCCCAGATCCACAAAGCAGCATCCGTAGTCGGTCCCAAAGCGGATCTTCAGCCTCCTGTAGTCGTATGTCTGCCGGCCGTCGATCCGCTGCAGTGGACAGAAGCACCGGTCAGACAGGGCCTCACAGAGCTCACACAGACGCTCCCAGAAAGCTGGAAAACTTCTAATCAACCGACCACTGAAGAAAACAACACCTTCTGAGAACTGTTGGTGGTTCTTACTTAAAATATCCTGAATATGAGCACATAAAAATGATTTTCTCTGGTGTGAGAGTTCAGTAGCTCTGCAGGTGAACCAAAGGGATGGAGGCATCCGGAGCACATCTTATGCCAGACTGGAAAATCAGTTTGGTCCTCATAGATTCCTCTCTTCTCCTCTCATCTCTGTCCTTCTGTCCAACCAGAGGCGAAGAGAGGTGGCAGCAATTCATTAGAGATGAGACGTCCGGGATTTGGAAGTTTTTAACTGATTCCTCCTATACGGTTTATAACTATATTATATTTCTTTTTTCTGGCAGAAGTGTAGAAAACAACGGCAAGGGTCTTTACATTTGTGTTGCAACGAGTCGTCATCTTGAAACGCTCCGAACACGCAAGAGGAAATATTTTAAAAATACTCAAGAAAAAAGGAAAAAGCATCTTTACTTTAACGGTAGAGAGGCCTTGAACGCACCTTTTTCTCTTCGATGGCTTTCAGCAAGAAGTCCCTCTCGCAGTTGGACAACGGGGTGTCCCTCATTCCGCCGGTTTGTGCTGTTTGTAGTTTTATTTAAAGGATTTTATTCACTCCTAAACAACCATGTGGGCACCATTAATGTTTACCAGTGCGGGTCGCGCATGCGCAAAGGTTCACAATTTACGGCAGTGGATGAATGTCGTGAACCTTATCATCGTATTATCCAAAATATTGAAAAAGACTAGCTAGTTAATTTCCTGTTTCAGTGTGTTTATTTAAAATATAAAAATGTTGGCGTTATGTACATGTTTTGACTCTTGTCCCATTGCAGTCCTGTTTATTTATATCGCTTTAACTATTCAATTTTTTTTAAAATAATCAGTAAAATGTAAGTATTGGGCCAGCAAAGGCCAGCTAAGTGCTGGCCTAAAAAATTAAAACCGATTTTTTTCTTAACTAGTTTGATTACATATTTAGTCTTCCAACCGCCAAGATGATGTTGACGTTAGCTTTCAACTGAAAGCGAACGCGCGACTCATGCTGCATTCACTTTCAACTTGGCATTTTCACGACTAACTCCAGTTAATAGCGCGGAGCTGTTCATCCAGCATCTTCTCCAATATGATTACATTTATTTTCTCCTTAAGACTCAAATAGTTCCGTCATTAGCTAAAGAATATGCATCTGGACGCACCTTTTACTACAGGAGTAATGCTTTGTTTTGAATTCTCTGTCTCCTGAAGGCATCATACACGGTCTCCATCTGCGCGAGACGCGCATGCGCATGAGTAGATGCTGTCTTGCAGCATAATTGAATCTGTCGCCGTTATTCGGGCCGAGCTGTCACTCACGGTCCATCCTCCTCAGCTGAAGCCCGTCCTCTCCCTACCCTTCACCGGCGAGACTAAAAGCGGACTAACCGCACACAACTCCACCGCCGTTTGTGTTTGAGAAGCAGTGTCAAAGGAAGGCCTTTTTCCTCCACAGTTTCCCAAAGGCGCAAGGTTTGTGCGTGCGCTATGAGAGTCTACATCCCCGCTAAGTTAGCAAGCTAGCACTTTCTATCCATTCATTTCTGCTGGTCATTAAACATTTTGACCGACATTTCTTTTAATACGATTCTAACCGCTTCTGCATTCAGTTTATCTGCATGTTTAACTCATGTATTAGCCCCGTTTTTCCCTCTTAAGCGGTTGTTTTGCTAACCTTTTCTGTTTGTGGCTGGCGCGCGCCCGGCTACAGCAGCTAGCTTTAGCCGGAGGAGCAGGTGCTGCGGACCGTTCATCTGAGTTTGGGCATTGCAGTGCTCGGTGGCAGCCATGTTAACTTCTCACTTGCTCCCCATGACCTTTATTTTACTTCGTTTTATAGGGCCTATCGGGTTGTAATCGTAATGTCCTGTAGTCATAGCGTTTTTGGGCGAAAATTGGTCCTTTTCCTTGCTTATAAACCGGCAGTCAGACGATGGGGGAGGGACGTCGTATCCATAATGGAAAAAAACTGGAATTGCTTTGGTGTGATAACATTTTAGACGTTGTTGCTATGCTTGTAAGCATGATATAGCAAACATGATGAGTCATTTTTACTAGCTTTGTCCTAATAAAAATGTGCACTCATTGCTACCTTGGATTCACAGTTAGAAGATGTGAGTCAGATAAGGCAGGAGTTATGGGGGGGCATTGCCCTGCATGTTTGAGATGTTTCCCTGTTTCAACACACCTGATTCAGGTGTAAATACATCTATTCAAACGATTGCAAGGCTTTGCACAAGTCTGCCTGTGGCACAGTGATATGAATCAGGATCTGTGGAGCCCCCTGAGAGAAGATGAATGAAGCAGGTTTTTAAAGAAAAAGTCCACTGGTGCCTCAGTGTCGCTTGAGGTGTTTTTTTAAACCTGTTTTAAATAGATTTAATCCACATTTGGAGACAGGCACAGTAAAGTCATGTAATATCTTTACAGAGAGTAAAGAAACGCGTTTAGGAGGTCTCAGTAATTGTCTCCTTTTTAAGGTTTTTATAAGGTTAACCACCTACCGAACCAAAATAGAAGTGTATCCTATCCTGCCTTCCTCTGGTGACTATGTGATGCCTGGGTTTGTTCACTTCTTTAACCAGTATATGCAATCTCATGTCTCACTAATGTTTGTCTTATGATTTTTCAATTTTTTCGGTATTAAATGGACTAATTAATCAAGCCATTTTCTTGTTTTGTGGTCAGAAAGCCACGTCATGACATCATCTAGATGTTCTCTGTAGTTTCCCCCTAATTTGTGTTGGCAGCTCTTTATCTTTGAGAGCTGTTTATCAAAGTAATTATTTGTTTAAAAACCCTTTTGTAAAAGATACTTTTGAGGGAGCTTTCCCCAAAAATGACCATTGTTGATAAAGTTAACCTCTTTTGTCACTTTTCTTAGACATGTAATAAAGCATTTTTACGACACATTACTAATTTATCTAAGTGTGATTATTTGTGATAAAGGGGGGGGGCATGTCTCAAATTCTCTGAAAATAGAGAAAATAAAACTAGGGAACGCAATTACTTATTTGTTCTCATTTCTCCCTTTTATTTATTAAAGGAGCTAATTGAAATAATGAAAAAAGCAGAAAAATAAGCAACAATTAGACTCTTATTGGGAAGATGATAGTTTTTTGTGCTGTCTGGTCAGCGTGTCAATCTCACACAGCTGGCAGTGAAGCAGTGATTCAGAAAGACAGGAAACAGATTTAAGAAGCTGCAAAAAGTGCGTTTCTCGACCTTTAACCTCAGGTTGATGATAAAAGTATTTGATTAGGATCTGCCCCTGTAATCCCCACCTCCCCTCTGCCCCCCCGCCCCAGATGAAGATGGCTGGAGGCTGGACGTGGCGCCTGCTGCTCCTGTCCTCTCTGGCCGTGGCCGCCGTGGCGGCCCTCGAGAAGCAGACGGAGTTCGGCGGCGCCGCAGAAGTGGACGAGGACCTGGGCCTGGACGAGGAGGAGCTGAGGGCCCTGATGGCGGAAGAGGACCAGGAGGAAGAGGAGGAGGAGGAGGAGGCCACGGTGATGGACGACGAGCAGGTCGAGGAGCCGGCTGGAAGCGGAGCGGAATCTGAAGTCTCTTTTCAGGTCAGAAACGGGTCCTCAAACGAAGTCGGATGGATGGATGGATGGATGGATGGATGGATGGATGGATGGATGGATGGATGGATGGATGGATGGATGGATGGATCGATGGATGGATGGATCGATGGATCGATCGATCCCCAAGGGGAAATTCAATGTCCCAGCACCTTAAGACATTACACACAACATACACTACAATTCACACAGTATCTTACAAAATCACTAGAATACTAAATTAACACAACTACCAGATCAACATTACTAGGGGATAAAAAGTAGTCAAAAGCACTAGAATACTAGATACTAAATACTAATTTAAAATAGTTGCCAGATCAACATTACTAAGAAATCAGCCTTTGGTCAAGTATCAAGTTAGACCACCGTCCAATCAAGGGAATGGAGGAGGGGTAGTGCACGTTGGCCCTAGGTACAAATGACTTCCTGAGTCGTGTTGTCATTTCTGAGGATGCAGTGTTTTATTTTTATTTGTGTTTTTTATTTCCAGGTGACCTACAAAACTCCCGTTCCCACTGGAGACGTTTACTTCGCCGAAACGTTTGACGACGGCTCGCTGGACAGGTAGAACCGCCGCCCGTAGCACGCAGGCCGAAGGCCCTCAGGTGTGTGAGGCCGAGGTTTGTGACGCCCTCCTCCGCAGATGGCAGCTGTCGAAGACCAAGAAGGAGGACGCCGACGAGGACATCGCCAAATACGACGGTTAGTGCCCCCCCCCACCCTCCTCCTCCGATTCCTCACAGGTAGGGCCGGGCTATTTCTCGATTTTGATTTTATCCGCGAAGTAACATTTCTCTAGAATTATAAAGGAGACGTTTGATCAAAGTTTTCACAGACCCCCGAATAGCCAATAAGATCTAAACAGCGCCACACGTAGAAGCTCGCAGTGGCACAAAGCCGCGGTGAAGTTTGCAGCAAATAATTTCTCCAGCTAAACCGTAAAACCTTATAAGCTCTGAACAGTAATCGGGAGAAAATGCTGCCCAGGAGAAGCTTTTAAAGCTGTTTTTGGGGGGATTTTGAAGATGTTTTGTGGCTTTTAAAGGTGTTTTGAGGGCTTATAAAGCCGTTTTGAGGGGTTTTAAAGCTGTTTTGGGGGGGTTAAAGCTGTTTTTGGGGGCTATGCTGCCCAGGAGAAGGACGACATCTTGAAAAAAGGGCCTGAGAGGTTTGGCTGCTCGGAGGAACTTTGGGTATTTGAAGTTGGACGAACAGCAGAGTAAGACACTGTGCGAACTATGTGCTCTGACACGAGGACTCCCCCCTCTGCCGGCAGGGAGGTGGGCGGTGGAGACACTGAAGGAGAACAGAGTCCCCGGAGACCAGGGCCTGGTGCTGAAGTCCCGGGCCAAACACCACGCCATCGCCGCCATGCTGGACAAACCCTTCGTGTTCCAGGACGAGCCGCTGGTCCTCCAGTGCGTTCACACCGACTCAAGCTTATCTTTTCCTGTTAAACAACCATGAGCGCCAGCTCTTAAGCTGTTCGTTTGACTTCCTGTTGCAGGTATGAGGTGAATTTTCAGGATGGAATCGACTGCGGGGGGGCTTACCTCAAACTGCTGTCCGACTCCGAGGGTCTGAACCTGGTAGGTTTTTTAATGTTTATGGTTTTCAGAAGTACAGGATGGTGAACCCCAGCTTTTCTGTGAAGAGCCTCCAGTAAAAACTCTCCAGCTTCTTGGAGGACGTCACAAAGCTCTTCTCTGGAAGCTGCTGCTGCCTTTGGCTCCGTTCTGTCAGATGATCCCACGCTGCTTCATAACGTGGAGCTCCGGCTCTGGAGGATCCGTCCCTCCATCAGAGCTGCTGGGGTTTAGTCCACTTCTGGTTCCTCTGGCAGAGCTCAGCCTTTTCTCCCTGTTGGTCCCCGTGTTGGTTCCTGGTTTCATTCAGTTTCTGACCCACTGTGGGAACTCTGGGAGGTTTAGCTGCTGTTAAATAACAGACAGGGGACATTTAGCTCTGTTTCAGCTTTATTTTGGTCATTTTGGCTCTATTATTTGTCTAGTTTGGTAATTTTAGTTCTATTTTGTATCTATTTTGGTCATTTTAGCTCTATTTTAGCTCTATTTTGGTCATTTTAGCTCTTTTATTGGTCTATTTTGGTCATTTTAGCTCTATTTTGGTCATTTTAGCTCTATTATTGGTCTATTTTTTTTATCACTTTAGCTTTATTTCTGCTTGTATTTTTGATAATTTCATCACTGTTTTTGCTTTTTTGGTGTATTAAAAAACGTGAAGCAGTGAGGATCCATCCCTCCATCAGAGCTGGTGTTCAGTCCACTTCTGGTTCCTCTGGCAGAGCTCAGCTTTCCTCCCTGTTTCCTTTCTTCATGGCTTTTTGACAGCCCCCCTTCATGGAGAGCGTTTCTGATGAGGCCAGCTAAATAAAGCCTCCGTCCATCCAGAAACTCTGGCTGACGTCATGGCTAAAAACTGAGACGTTTCCCGGCCTGAAAGCCTTGTTTCTCTGGCTGCAGGAGCAGTTCCACGACCACACGCCGTACACCATCATGTTCGGGCCCGACAAATGCGGCGAGGACTACAAGCTGCACTTCATCTTCCGCCACCGGAACCCCCTGAACAAAGACGTGGAGGAGAAGCACGCCAAGCGGGCCGACGTCGACCTCAAGAAGTTCTACAGCGACAAGAAGACCCACCTGTACACGCTGGGTGGGTCCCCACCGCCGGGCGCCTCTGGGGGGCGCTGTGGAGCCTCTATTGGGGCACTGTGGAGCCCCTATGGGGGGCGCTATGGAGCCCTTATGGGGGGCGCTGTGGAGCCCTTATGGGGGGTTCTGTGGAGCCTCTCTGGGGGGTTCTGTGGAGCCCCTATGGGGGGTTCTGCTGAGCCCCCATGGGGGGCGCTATGGAGCCTCTATGGGGGGCGTATGGAGCCTCTCTGGGGGGCGCTGTGGAGCCCCTATGTGGGGTTCTGTGGAGCCTCTATTGGGGCACTGCGGAGCCCCTATGGGGGGCGCTCTTGGGCCTCTATTGGGGCGCTGTGGAGCCTCTATGGGGGGCTCTGTGGAGTCCTATGGGGGCACTGTGGAGCCTTTATGTGGGCACTCTGGAGCCCCTATGGGGGGCGCTGGTGTGCCCACTATTGGGGGGGGCTGTGGAGCCTCTATGGGGGGCGCTGTGGAGCCTCTATTGGGGGCGCTATGGAGCCCCTATGGGGGGCACTGTTGGGCCTCTATTGGGGCACTGTGGAGCCCTTATTGGGGGCGCTGTGGAGCCCCTATGGGGGGTAGCTTTGGAGCCCTTATGGGGGTGCTGTGGAGCCTCTATGGAGGCGCCGTTGAGCCTCTATGAGGGGCGCTGTGGTGCTCCTATGGAGGCGCCGTTGAGCCTCCATGGGGGGCGCCGTGGACCCTCTATGGGGGCACTATGGAGCCTCTATGGGGGGCGCTGTGGAGCCTCTATGGGGGGAGCTGTGCACCTCTATGGGGGGCGCCATGGCTCACTCTGTCTGTGCCCTCAGTCCTGAACCCAGACAACAGCTACGAGATGCTGATCGACCAGGCCAGCGTGAGCCGCGGCAGCCTGCTGAGCGACGTGGTGCCTCCCGTCAACCCCCCCAAGGAGATCGACGACCCCCACGACTCCAAACCGGAGGACTGGGACGAGCGGGCCAAGATCCCCGACCCCGAGGCGGCCAAGCCCGAGGACTGGTAAACCACCAAACCGGCCTTTAGCTGTTTGATTGTGGCTCAAACGAGGCATTTTTCTGCCTTTTAAACCCCTCTGATGGGCTGAGTCAGCTCGTTTGCGCCCCCTGGTGGGTAATCGGTGTTCTGGGGTGTTTTACAGGGATGAGGATGCACCTGCAAAGATCGAAGACCCCGACGCTCTGAAACCAGAAGGCTGGCTGGACGATGAGCCGGAGTTTGTCCCCGACCCCAACGCAGAGAAACCGGAGGACTGGTAAAGAGACCCCGGCTGCGTTCGGTAAACGGTGGAGCTCAGACGCTCATCGCTGTGTGTCCATCGGTGTCCACCAGGGATGAGGAGATGGACGGGGAGTGGGAGGCCCCGCAGGTTCCCAACCCGGCCTGCGAGACGGCCCCCGGCTGCGGAGTGTGGAAGCGGCCCATGATCAACAACCCTCTGTACAAAGGCAAATGGAAAGCCCCGCTGGTGGACAACCCCAACTACCAGGTAACAGCTCAGGCTCACCGGGAGGTGGACCAGGAGGTGGGACAGGTGGTGGTCCAGGAGATGGACCAGGAGGTGGGACAGGTGGACCAGGAGGTGGTCCAGGAGGTGGTTTGGGGGGTCCCAGTTCCACCAAGCAGCAGCTCATCGACCCCCACAGCCGGGTTCAGGGGCCCCTTCCCCTCTAACCCCCCCCCTCATTTGGTCCGATTAGCTTAGCTGCTGCACACCACGGCAGCATTAGCATTAGCCATATCCAGGTAAACAATACACAACAGGTGTGGCACAATCACCGCTTATGGTGCATTCACGAGCGCCGGAAATATGAAAACACAATATAACTTAACAGTATCTGATTGAAAATACTGTAACATGAGCTTCAAAATGTGCTTAGTTATTAATCCTCTTTACTTTTTTACTTAGGATGAGAGGAGACATGTAAAAAGGAAGTGGTCTAAAAGGTCTTGGTTCCATCAGACAGCAGCTCATTGACCCCTAAAGCCAGGTTCAGGGGCCCCTGCCCCATTAACCCCCCCACACACACCTTTAAGAAGCTCTCTCATAACAAACTAACCATTAACTTTTCTCTCTTTTCTCACTTGTTGCAAACTGTTTCTGTAACATGAGCTTTAAAAGATGCTCAATTGTTAATCCTCCTTTTTACCTTTTTACTCATGATCAGAGCAGACCTGTAAACATGCAGAAATGTGAGGCCTTCTCTTTCAATGGAGTTGTTTTCCGACCCCACAGGGAGTCTGGAAGCCGCGTAAGATCCAGAACCCGGACTACTTCGAGGACCTGCAGCCGTTCCGGATGGCGGCGGTCCGGGCTCTGGGCCTGGAGCTGTGGTCCATGACCTCGGACATCTACTTCGACAACTTCATCCTCACCTCCCACAAGGAGGTGGCCGACCGCTGGGCCTCCGACAGCTGGGGGCTGAAGAAGCTGGTGGCCAGCGCCAACGAGGTGGGCGCCCCCCCCCCCCTGGCTAGGGTTGTTAAAAGTATCGATACTCAAACGTTGAATCCGGATACGATACTCATTTTCAAAAGTCCCTTCGCCCCTTCTCTCTGATTGACGTTAGCCTTGAACTGCTAGCTGCGGCTAATGGCTAATAACAACACGCCGACATTAATCAAGTACGTCTGGCTGCAGGAAGCCAAGAATGGATATCCAACTCCCCCACATCCAAGTCGGCCATTTTGATTAGGTCACCAATAGGAAGGTCCCAGGCAAGAAAATCCTAATTGCTTCATGGCAATATAGACATTCATTTGAAAATAGTGAAATTAATCTTGCAAACACTCAATTCAACTCTATACTTAATATTATGTTAAAATAGTGGATGTTAAATAGGTTTGTACAATAAGTCCAAACGAGTTTAACCAAAAAATATTTATTTCTTACAATTGAGAGTGGAGGGTTAGGGGTCAGGGTTAGGGTTAGGGTCCATAATGTGGGTTAGGGTTAGGGTCAGGGTCATTAATGTGGGCCACCATAACATCAGTAACAGGTCAGTTTGAAACAAAAGACACTAACCTGTCAAAATGAATACATTTTGGGGTCTTTGGTTTTATCCTTTTGGTATCAAAACTGGACCGAGTATCGAATATTTTCCTGAGTGTCGGTATTGAGTTGAAAATGTCAGTATCGTGACAGCCCTACTCCTGGCGGACTTGTTCGGCCCTGTCCTCCACAGCCGGGGATCGTGGCGCAGCTGCTGATGGCGGCGGAGGAGCGGCCCTGGCTGTGGGTGATATACGTCCTGACGGCGGGGCTGCCCGTGGGGCTGGCCGTGATCTTCTGCTGGCCCAAGGTAACCGAGGAAGCTCCCGTTCCCCCCGGAGACGCCGGGGAAACGGCCCCGGTCGGCCCCCGGCTAACGGCAGCTCCCTGTGATCTGGGTTTCAGAAAGCAGACGAGGAGTACGCGTACAAAAAGGCCGACCTCCCCCGGGCCGACATAGAGGAGGAGGAGGAGGAGGAGGCGGCAGAAGAGGAAGAAGAAGAGGAAGACAGAGCGGCCGAGGAGGCAGAGCCGGCAGCTCCAGGTGAGATTAAGCTGGTCCCGATCCGATACCTGGATCAGATTGGACACCGATATTTTTAAAAACTGTGTATCGGCTGGCAGGAGAAAAAGGCAGATCCAGACTCCAGATCCAGTTTTTATTAAAGTCCAATCCCACATTAGCATTAGCATCTGCTAACCCACAAGTTTGTGTCCTAACCATTAAGTTGTTATCAGAGTAAATCTCTGTTCAACATGAGTCTGACAACTAAATAAGTAGATAAATGACTTTAGACTTTAGTACATGCTCTGATAGGCCGGGATCGGATCGGAAGTGCAAAAAGCTGGATACCTAGGTGTGACTCCCCCCACCGGCCGGTTTTCCAGCTTCCTGTTCGGATAAACGGGACGGCTCTCAGCTCTGGGGAAGATCCAGGCTGATTGTAAACGAAAAAACTCCTAGAAGCCAAACCAGAGCGGCCAGTTTGTTCCACCCGGCTGGATTCAAACAGCCACGTGCAGCTCGGTGCTCACGAGGCCGCAGCACGGTTTGGGAATCTGCTGTAAACTTCCCAGATTTCCATAAACACACACAGTCCAAACGGTTCCTTTGACCCTCTCGCACTTTCTCCGTTAAACCGTAAACTCTCAGTAAACTCTCAAACGGGAAGTAGCTATTTTTTTCTTCCTTTTCGACGCTGGGACATTAAGCGAGTTCCCAAAATTAAATTTGAACAAACACAAGACGGTAAACTAAAATAATGTCGATGTGACCGATGAAGAACACGAACAAACTGGGGAAATCTTTCGTCTGATGAGGATCGAGGATGATCGAGCTCAGAAAATTTAATCTGGAATCAAAGAAACACCACAAATCTGAGCTCCGCCTTTTTCTTCTTCTCCTAAAGAAACCGAGGCGGGTGAGATGGAGGACGGAGGTCCGGGAGGGGACAACCTAGAGCTGGACGAGGACGAAGAGGAAGAAGAAGAGGAGGAGGATGAGGAGGAGGAAGAGGAAGAAGAGGGCGGAGAGGAGGAAAGCAAAGAGCCAGAGAGAACATTTGGAGATAAGGTTGGTAAAGGAGGAAACACAAGAGCCAAACTACTCAGGTGCTATTAAAATGAATAAAAGCAGAACCTGCTGCTCCTCTCTGGGCTAAAAGCCACCAAAGTGCAACCAAACGAGTCGAGATAAACTCACCATGATTCATCCTACTGAATCCTGAAGAGAAAATGGGACAAATGCATCTTTTTAATGGGCACCGTGGCCAAAGAGTTTAGTTACTTTTGAGTAAAGTGACTCAAAAGTAAAAAGTATTCAAGCAAAAAAATGATTTCAAGAGTAAAAGAAAAAAAAAAGTGAGTCACTTTGGATTTAGTGATACAACAATCAGGGTTGAATGTCCAAAAATTAGAAAAATATAAGAAAAAAAATCCATTTAGAGCTAAAAGATTAAATTAAATCCGAGATTCTCCTTCTGTTTTGGCCACTTATGAAGCAGAGGTGTAAAACATCCCCACTCCGTCACGCTTTTTTCCTCATTTTTTTGTCTTTGTTTCTTTATTCTTTATTTATATTCTTTATTTTCTTATTGTTTCGCCACAGAAGGACGCCGGAGACGACGCCGAGGAGAGGAGCAAACAGGCCGTGAGGAAGAGGAGGGTACGGAAAGACTGAGGAGGCCGAGCCTCGTCTGCTGCCTTCTTTCTTTCTGACGCCGAGGAGGCGGAGCCTCAGGCCCCGCCCCCAGAGAGCGGGCCCCGCCCCCCCCCCACCGCCACCCACCCAGGTTTGCAGTCCCACATCTCCTCCTCTTCCTCCTGTCCTCTTCCTCCCGTCTGCTCGCTCTCAGGAGCTCCTCTGCTCTCGTTTCCGCCCTAAAGCCGACGTCTCAGACGTTCGGGGCTTAAAGGCAAAGTTCCCGTGTACTCACGCCATTTTTGGGGGTTTTGGGGGGTGGGGGGGGGGACGCCGGCGCTGTGGGGGAGGCCTCAGCTCAGAGAGAGAGAGATAAAAGGGGTTTTTCTGTTTTAGATCTCAGCCGGTTTGTTACGAGCATCACTGTTTTCTTTTTTACCGCCGACCTTATTTATTCGTCCGTTCCCGCGTTGTTCGGGCCGGTGTGGAGAAACGCGACCGTTCGACAGACTGAAACACGCCGCCGCCGTTTGTTAGACGCTTGTAAAGCGACTCGGACGCAGCTTTTAGCCGGACAGCGAACGCCTCTCGGCCTTTTCCCAGGACGCCGCCGCTCAGCCTGTTGCCTGGGAAACGGACTCATTTCAACGACTTTGATTTGTGGTCTTTTTTTTTTATGATTGTCGTCTCCAGCTTTTTGTAGTTCGCCCTCCCGTCAGATGTGGGCAGATGTTCCTGTTTACATTTGTTTGCAGACTGTATGTGGCTCTTGGAAATAAAATTATTTAATACAAAGACGATTGGCTGAAGGAGTCTCGCCGAAAACGGGACAAAGAACCCGCCGTTTGTTATTTCTGAGACCGGAAACGAAGCCTCTTTGTTCCAGGACCCAATCTGAGGTGGAGGCTCTTTTTGGGTCGGTTGTTATAATGTGAGCAGGAGATAAAAGACTCAGACAGAGGTGATCTTGGGTTTTATTAAAATAAAAAAAATACCTTGAGGTGGGGTGGGGAGGGGCATCGAGCATGGTAGATAAATAATACAAGATAAAACGGTACAGCTCTCAAACATCAAACAACCTCAATAAATTACAAAGTAATGTTTCCATAGCTTTCGTTAAAGCAGCATTTAGTTGTTTTCTGATTAAATGTGAAGCTTGCTTTCTCTAACTTTGGGTGGAACAAACCAGGCTTTGCCTTTTCCACTTTTCTCCTCAGTTAAAGAAGCTCTCGTCATTTCTAACAACTCTGGTTACAGATTTAGTTTATTTCAGTTAATGCGCTTCAACGAGGATCCACCGACTGGCTAAATAGTTCTTAGTAGCTTTATACAGTTTGATCACAGATTACTGATTTAGTTACGTCTCAACAGGTCTAAGTCTATTTTTAAATGCCATCTCACAAACATTTCCAGTTGCTGTAACACTGTTGCTTCTGACAGCTTTAAAGAAAAAAATCCAGTTTCATGAGCTCTAAAAACAACACAAGACGCTGATCGGTACTTTATAAAAATAAACCGGTGCTTGTCGAGAAGGTGCATTTTAACGTAACCTCGAAATGTTTTGAAGTCCACAGGAAGTCGAATGAGTCCTTAAAGGGGAAACCCTCCAGATGGGAGTTACTTTACAAACATTTTTCTGACGGAGAATCGAGAAAGTCCAATTGGAAGTCGCCCACAGACCGCTGTGCGTTAGTGTGTAAGGGTCGGCGTCCTCGGCCTGGACAGGACCGGCCACACAGGGACTTCAGAGCTGACTGAGGGTCAGTTTTAGTTAGTTGGCGTCTTAATATTTACACGGTTAGTTGGGACTAAAAAAAACAAACCCCATCTGGACGTCCCGGCGGCGGGGCCCGGCTCACTTCCGCTTGCCCTTGGTGTCGGTGGTCTGGAAGACGCTGGAGGCAGACATGAGGTTTTCGATGTACTGACCCAGGACCTGATTCTCCGATTTGAGCTTCAGGTTCTCCTCTTTGACGGCGTCGACTCGCGCCGACAGATCTGAGAGAGGAGAGAGCAGAGGTTTAAAACCAGCTTCTGTTTGGCTCCAGACAGAAAAACTCACCCCACTCATTATTGGATTTCAGAGAAAAATTATTGATGCTTAAACAGGAAGAAAACTGAATTTATTCTAATTGGACAGACTGACATTCAGAGAAAATGGCAGCAGCCTTCAGGCCCTCAGGCATCTCTCTGGATTTAAAACAGACCCGATTCTGTCCTGGAAATCGCCAACAAACTCAAGTTAAGGCTCGGTCGGAAAAGAAGAAGCCACATGTGGACATGATCCAGATGTTCACAGTGAGGAAAGCAGCCATTGGCTGTCATAAAAGTAGGTTTATGACATAATTTATCAGGTGTTTGTTATTGAAATGAAGCTCCAGACGAGAGGAAAAACTATGACTAAAGACCAAAAAAAATTAGGAAAACACATCCTGAACCTGTTCAAAAATATTTTTTAAAAACATGTTCCTCAGCAGCCGGTTCCATCAGATCCAGATGTTTACAGCCTGATGTTAAAGAAGAGGCTAGAGTGGAAAACATCCACCTTGTTTGAGACGTCTCCACATCTTGTTTTAATTAGCTTAATATTTTCCAACTGAATAAAAAATGTATTTATGGAATTTATAATTGTTATTTTACTTTATATTCAAACAGTGTCTCAAACTCTTTTGTACTTTTTAAGTAACACACAAAGTGATATATACAGGTTTTTTTAATTAAAGATAAACAGGTACTAACAAACTACAGCTGAAGCTACAGTCATTGCTTTTTACCGGCTGTTTAAATGAATCAATTGTTGCTTTTTCTCTGTCAAAACTTTAAAATCTTTGTGTAACAAAAAGCCAAAATGAAAGAACACCTTCTGTGTTAAAAGGAGAATCAAATGTACGCCACTTTTAGGCTCTACTGGACTCAAATCCAGGGTCATGTCCCCTGCTTTACCTCATTCTGACAGAGATCTCGATCTAAGGCCTGAGTTTGGCGCCATGAAGCCCGATAAGCAGCTTACAAAGGCACCTTAAGATCCAGTTCTGGATTTTCAGCACCACAAAGCCGGTTCGCCTCTAAAAAAAGGTGCAAACTCGCAGCCACTCGAGGTGAAAACCTCCCGAGGGGACGTGTGTGTTCAGTGTTTCTCTGCTTCTGTTTGTATGGTGAGTGTGTTCATGTGTGGAAACGTCTAAAACCTGGACAGCGGCCAAATTCTGATCCAAACCACCATTGTTGGATTTGATACAGTATCAGAAGGTGTCCCTCCTTTTTCCTGGTGCTTTCCTTTAAAAAGTTAGTGCATAAAAAGGTTTATATCCCTTGACGAGGCAGCAAAGCCTCTCCTTTTTTCCAGGATCAGTTCTCAGTGGGCTGGTGTTTATCAGAGCGATATCTCATTATTACCTTCCAGTGTGTGCTGGAGCTCCAGGACTTGATTTATCAACCTCGTCTTCTCCTCCATCTCCACCTGGTTCTCCATGTCTCCTGAAATGTTCCCAATAGCAGCAGGTTTTTTACAAACGGATAAAAACATCTCTGTTAAAGACGTGCAGAGAGGGATCCGGCAGGCAGACCCACCGTCTATGTCGCAGTTCATGATGAAAAGCTCTTCGTCCTGTTTAGTATACAGGGCTGCAGATCCACCGTCTGCTGGAAGAGAGGACAGAAACGGAGGTTCACAGCAGATTTAAACGGACAGGGAGATACATTCCTGCTAATATCCGGATCATTTTCTCATCTTAGAGGCCGGAGGATGGCTTTATCTGAAGAGGGCGTGAAACAAACTCGGATTAAATCAAGCAGAAGTTGATATTTGCCGGCTTCGATTTGAATCCTTTGCACTTAAGTCTTCAAAAAGTGAATTTCAACGACCAACCGACGGTAAAAGTGACCGTAAACAACCGCACCCAGCCTGAGAGGGGCCGCGGCTAAACGGTGTCTACGGTCCCATCAACCCGCTCCTAAAGCCACGATTTACAACCTGAAGGTTTCCCTAGATGTATCCGGGTGTTTCTGAGCCACGGACCTTATATTAGCCACGCAGAATTGCACCGTGGAAGCATCACCTCCCAGCCAACACGGGCCGAGACCCGTCCGATAATGGGAGTGTTTGTGTTAGCTAGCTAAAAGGACTAGCCCGCTAACCAAGGAGAGGCTGGCTTACAAAAATACACCAAACGCCGAACATTTTAGCCACAATAGACACTCAAATAAATCATCGTGGTGGATACATATTTGGAGGAACCATTTTAAGTACAATATTGAACATTTTCTTCGGTCACGCGAAGCATATCTGTGCTAACGGTTACAAGCTACTTCATGCTACTAGCTAGCTTTAGCTTGAAAGAAATCCTTTTTTTTTTTTAATTCCAGATATTTTTTTCCCTCTGGAGGTTTTTAAAAACGACCGAGCGCATCGTTTACCCACCTACAGTCAGACTAATCACCGTCCTGTAAACACACTAATGTGCTGCTGAGGAGGAGGAGGAGGAGGATGATGACAGACGGACTTCATCAATAGGGAACGTCATCAGTACGCGCAGTTCACCACTCAAGCCGGTAGGGGGCGCTGCCGTACGGAAGCCGAAGCGTGACGGAAGTAGAAATAACACCAGAAATATGAAAAAGTCTGAACATATAAATCAATAGGCCAAAAAAACCGCACCAATAAAATGCTAATTTATGACACCCGTTTATATTTTGTGCTCTATTTTTTACCTACATTTTGCACCTTTGTTTAAATAAGCCCAATGTATTATCATTTAAATGACCTCTTTAACTAGTTCACCTCACAGCAAGATTCCCAGTTTGAATCTGAAACTTTTCTTTGTGTTTATGCTGAGTAAGTGTGGGGTTTCTCCAGGTTTCTCTGGGCTTCCTCCCACAATCCAAAAACATGCCTGTTGGGTGCATGTTAAACCATTTAAATTAGGTTGTTTGAGTTAAAAAGGTGTAAGAACTTAAAGGTAAAATTTAATCAAGAGAAATGAATACAGGATTTAAAACACAATGACAGAAAAAAGTAATTTACAGGTCATTTACATGAT